AAAAACATTTAAGCAATCTCAAGAAACAAATTCAAATTTAAAAGTTTATAAATTTTAATGTAATAAAACACTGGAAGGATTCACATACCTATTGCAAAAATTTGTAAAAATAAAACAAAGTCCTGAAATCAAACGAATAACAACCTTGAATACAAGAGCACTTAAATCGTTGTTGAATACGTTATTGAGAAGAGTCGTTTTTTCTGTAGGACACGGCAAACAATTGACCACCAAATCAAGAACTGGACTGACACTCTGTGCACATCTATAAAAATTTGGAACTGACACAATTTACAATTTTTTAAAGTAGTGTAACCAGAGAATTGAAATTGATGTTTACAGTGCGAATTAAAATCACTGATTAAAGAAAAATTAACGATTTCAGAACCAATATTTAATGACAAATTTAGTTAAATATCAACTACCTAAGCGCCGAACCACAAGCCACCGGAACAATCTGTTGAGTTAATGTCAGTTGCCGTAAAACTTTAAGTGCTTCCAAATTTAGAATCTCATTTTCACTGCTGGTTCTCAACAATGAGTCAGCAAATTTATCATCGAAATCCGCCAATCTACAGAACATCTCTTCGCGAGCAACCATCATTTTTTCAAATCTACAAAACATTTAGTTACGATCACATAATACAGCTTCAAAGCTTCTACATAATTCCAAGATCATACTGAGAATACACAGAGCCTCTAGCACAGATTTCTTACAAATTTGAGACAGAATTTTATATGTCGAGTATATAAATCTGGACAAATAAATGACCATGCAAAAAATCTAGACCATGCTAAATAATATCTTGCAAGAACAAAAATATGCGAAAGTAAAATTTACTCAGAACAATCCTTCTTCAACTGCTTCCACTGACCACCATCCCCCAAATTCAAAGCAAGGTAACGTTTGTTTATAAGATCTAAGACCCCGGAAAAGTGACCAACGTTATCAACTACTGGCACACATACCTGAAATAAGTTTTAAAATAATTGAAACAAAGCGATGGAAATATATCGGCTCAGTTAAAATGAAAAAAGTGAAATGCGAGAACAGCTAAATTTTACTATATTCATAACGAAGATAACCAAATTACTGGAACAGGGTTTTCCAATCCCAATTTTTCAATTATCGAATCGACAGATCGGACAAAGTTGGCAGCTTGCTTATCCAATTTGTTAACAAAAAAAACCGATGGTAATGAAAATTTTTTTGCTTGTCGCCATACAGTTACAGTCTGCGCTTGTACACCAGCAGAAGCATCCAGTACAGTTACTGCACCATCCAAAACCCGTAGGCATCTTTCAACCTTGAAACTCAGCCAGTTTTTCTTTACAGATAATCAAAGAAAAAAATTTTCAGAGTGAAAAACAGCTTGATATCAGAATGATCAGGTTCTCATCTTTTGATATACAGTGCCAATCTTTTTGAAAATTTTGATTCTAAATATGATAGCATTTAACTGTAGTACTTGTCAAAAAGACGAATAAAGTTTGCAATATCGAGAATTGAACTTCAGTCAGAGTGCTCATACTTCCAAAATAAAGTCGACGTGTCCCGGTGTATCAATTAAATTAATTCTATGATTCTTCCAAAACAAAGTTATTGCTGCTGACTGTATTGTGATTCCTCTTTCACGTTCTAATTCCATGAAATCCATCACAGTATTACCTCAAATGAATGCCAACTTATCGACTTCAACGGTACTTTTATTTCAAGTAACCGTATTAAATGATTTTAAGTATAGAAGTTGAAACAAACCAGAGTCGACATTTCCCATAATTTTCGTTGCACCAGCTAGGTACAGTAAGCGTTCGGTAACTGTCGTTTTACCAGCATCAATATGTGCGATAATACCAATATTACGTGTTGAAGTTGGATGAACATCAAAATTCATTTCTTTAGCAGAGATGCATCCTAAAAAAATATACCAATCTGTTTGCTATTATTATTGATAAAAGACTGAAATTTGAGCAGTTGGGAATTAAATCCATACTTTTTGTAGCAATAGATATTATTTTCATTTTTAATTTTAGAAAAATCGTTGAATTTCTTCTTAATTTCATATTAAAAGAGATAGAAAGTTTAACGGTAGATTAATTGTCAGCAATAAAAAAGAACCACAATATGCTCCTTAGATACACCTAATTACTAATTACGTATTGTTAAATCACTAAATCTGTACTGAAAGTAGAAGTGAAATTTAAAAATACAAAAATTTTATTGCTATGAATCGCATTATTAATGTAAGACTAAGAACTAATAATTGTGTGTTTGCAGTGATCTTCGTCATGAAAGAAATGAAGAAGGCTACTACAAAAAAATGTGTTGGAAAATGAAAGTAACCTTTTTGTTTCCTTGGTTTATAACTGCACAACATCCGGATGCCGGGCTTGATTCCATGGAAATATTTGAAAACTAGCACCTTTATTTTCATAATCTTCAAGTTATTCAATGAAAATACGGTACATTCTGAAATCAGCAAATAGAGCACAGTGGTTTATAACAATTACAAAGGCAAAAAATAGATTATAACGATCATTCTGTTAGCAAAAAAGATAAAAGCTGAAAAGCTTTGGCAAGTAAGCTGAACCACAGAGCAACCGCACCAGATCTATTCTCACACAATTGGCAAACCTGAAATATACACGTTTGATGAGGATATGAAAAAGACCACACTGAATAACTGATAAGAGAAATGATAGCACATCCAGCCTGCAGCCATGTTAATTCCGACAGCCTGATATTGAAGCTGAGCATGCAATTAAAAACTCATCACTAACTACCCCTAACTCATCCAATCGCCACATATCTAGGCTTTCTAAGTTATTAGTAAAATCGCAATATTGATAACTTAGAGAGCCTTCTGTTAGCTGATGTTAATGATAAACGATGGTCAGAGATTTGCTTGCATTAGCAATGATCGGAGACAAATTACTCTAAGCCAAACTGAAATTCTATTCACGGAGATACGCAAAGGAAAAGCAAAAGTAACAGCGACTTGCAGAAGTTGTAGGATGTAACGGGCCATCATGACATAACAATTTGAGGAAATTCAAGTCCACCAAAATGATGACTTTTTACAACTGTCTCAGTGGCTTCTGCTTATCGAAAGAGCCATCCTTAATTAGGGCTATTCTTTGTATAAACACTTTTAATAGAAGTTAGTGCAGCTTTCACTCCTCACCACATCGATGTAATGACTAATCATTGTGTGCGTAATCATTATTGCACGCCGTTAGCGATGAAAAATAATGGCTGCTTCCCATGCTTTGATCGTTTCTCATTTTTAAAAGTATTATTACGTGGCATAAACTAATTTGCTTGTGATCATTCCGTGTAATTCATAGCTCAATACTTCCTTACTTTGCAGTACTGATTTCGTTTTTGTATCGCTTCACAGTAAATTCATTTACTGTTCATTTATTCACAATAATGATAACAATTAAACTGTGATGCTATTCGATTTCATGCTATTATCAGCTGTCATTACCAATTCAAACAACTCCAGTATTATGTTTCGCAGTTCTTTTTCATAATTTAATTGCTATCATTATTGTGAATGTTACGTCATTGCTAACTTTAATCGCATGAAGTCGAATAGCATCAAGTACTATTCACAGTAAATTTGCTGTATTATGTTATTTAGACTACTTCGATTTAGGCTAAAGTGGAATAATGGAAATGCTAGCTAAACCAGATCGTTCTCATCTCTCATTGCCGTTGGAAAGTGTTAGCACGAGCAATGGCAATAGTGCATCCCGTACCACTATCAATGCCGTGCCAAAACAACAGAAACTTATCAAAAGTTTGAGCATTCCTGCAGATTATTCCGTCTCTGTTCACTATGTACGCTTACTTTTCCTTGCATTTTGTCATTATTAAAAATTTGGCTTAAAAAGAAGCTGACTAATTTTTATTTCACCCGTTTAATTGCATAACTTCAGAAATACACAATTTGATCGTTTTTATTTAAATTACAGCCATTAAAACTTATTGGCTAGTTTGAATGGCTGTAAAAATATTGAGGACATTCAGTAAGTATATTTGGAGTTCTGTAAACTTTGTCGCAAATAGTTTGTATTTTGATTATCAAAGTTTTTATCATTTCTTAGTGCTGAAATTTGTAGAATAAATGGGCTCGTATTCTGATTCACTTTATTAAATTATATCATCCCGCAATCATTTTTGTGGTCAAAAATAAACTCTGCTCTTGAAAATCGCTACTAATTAGATTAATGGTTTTAGTTTGCTTTGATTACATAAATGTAGCTGCTCGAAGGAAAGCTTCATAACTTGTCTCCAACTATATTTGTAGGCTAAAAATAAATTTTAACTGATTTATTCGACATGAAAAATTTTGGCTATCTTGTTTTCAGGAATCACAGAGTCCTTCCTCGAGTTCTCATAAAGAGTCAAAAGCTCATCCATTAAGCCGCGCTCAAAGGTGAATTATCAAATTTTATGTAAACTTCGCTTTGCAATTAATCGGGCCTCCACAAAATTGTGTTTTCTTCTTTTTAATTGACGAAGCGTTATTTTTATTTTGCTGAGAGTTAATTTGTCGTTTTTAACACAAGTCACTTTTGTTTCGCTTTTTTTCTTTGGTACTTAAAATTTTTATCAGAGCATGGTTACTCACTTTCACGAAATTTTTAAGTTATTTGGACCACTTTCTTATAGTTTTGTTTGCTGTAGGTTTTTGACTGCATAAAAATATTTTTCATTCCCTAATAACATCATCCTAACTTTTAAATGATTTAAGATCGTTTGAAAATTCCTTTTTAAATTTTATGCCAGTGATTTTTTAGCATTCGTGAAACTATATCTAATGGAACTGCCAAATTTTTTGGTGTTCCACCATCAGAAGACAACCATTCACAATTAGCAAGTACTGCTGTTGATCCGAAGTGGAAATCTCGACGTTTGCGCTTCATTTGTAAACGTTATGGAAATGTGAAGGAAGAAGCTGTTTTCAAAGAACTTTGTTCACATTGTATGTTTCAGAAATGTGTTTTTTTTTAAAAACTTTCAAGAGTGGACACATACTAATTTTCACAAAGTCGTGAAATAAATTCTATTATGTTGATCAAAAATATGTTATTTTCGTTCTTTAATTTATTAAAGCATACCTATCAGTAAAGTTGTTTTATGATAAAAGCATCTTAATTTTTTATTTTTCAATTTTTAAACATTTGTTTCAAATAATGAAAGCATTGTACTACTAAAAGTAAGTGAATGCTTAAAATTTCTCTCACAATTTTTATGATTTGAAATGATAATTGTAGATATTTGTTTCAGTTACGGAGGATTTTAGTGATGTTTCACCATCTGTAAAAAATATCACACCACAAGATGAAGCACATGAAACCGCTTTTAGGGTAAGTGAATTTTTAGATGCAAATTTTAGTGGATGTCACAAGATTATAATTGGAGGATAAAATGAAGTTCTTTTGTGACAGCTCTCATCGTAAAAAAACAAAAGTTTTTGTTTTGAACAATTCTTTTCAAATCGTCATCATTAATTCTCTTGGGGTATCATTATCGTAATAAATGCCACTTTTTTAGTTACAAAATTATTATTAAGGAAATCCTTTCGAGAAGTAAGTCAGTAGAAAGTCAAGGAAGCAAGATCATTCAACATCATCTGGAACGACGCGATAGTGTTATGAAAATGACTTACGATAGGCTTTCAGCTATAGTACAGAGGTACATTTATTATTTTGCTATCTTTACCAATGCATCAAAGAATTTTAGATTCACAGCTATAATGTTCTCAGTAAATTTTTTTTTATTAAGTGTGATGAATTGCATATTACTACTATAGTAGAAGTTGTGTTCGGGGATTATTAAACGTAGAAACATGAACTTTTCGCTGTCATACGCTCATTTTAAAAAGTTTTCCATGGTATAGATTATACGATTATATTCTTTATCCGACTCATTTTCCTATGGCTAAAAATTACAGACTTCAAGATTGTATGAATTATATAGTGTTTTTTGTACATGAAATTAAACTTGAATTTGTGAGTCCGTTTTGTTTCTACATATTACTCTCAAATTTCTTTAGGAAAACTTTGCGACCAAAAAAGACTTGTGCGATAATAAAACGTGGACGGTCAACATCTAGCAGTTTTGCACCATTCACAATTCAGCAAGCTGGAAACATCACTCATATCAAAATCAATCCTTCAGTAACGGATGTGTCTGTAAGCGGTGGGAACTATAAATTCTTTTTTGTGTCCTGTATTACACACAGCAAATTTTTTGCTTGTTCTTTGCAGTATGTTTAAATATTTTCATGTCCGGAAAGATTGATTGATTGATTGATAAGCATAGTAACAAAAGCTGAATTTATTGTACGCTAGTAATTGTTTTTTATTGCAAATTTTAAGCTATAGATTGTTTATACAATAAATGATAGAGTTTCACCTAATTATATATAAATATATATATATAAAATTCTTGTATGCTTGTATGCTTTTTCACTGTGTTCAAAGTACTCTGAGAGTGATTCTACAATTCAGGATTCAGCTCTTCAGAATTCAAACACTTTCAACTTTTCAGGAAGACAAAGAAATTTTCGGTGAAATCTTAAATTACATTTACATTTGCAGGCAAAGGTATGTGTACTGTTCCGGAAGTTGATTTCGAAAACTCCTATGAGAAAAATGAGGTAAAAAATAAAACAGATGAATTAAAAAAAGAAACTGAAGCAGAAGAAGGACTTTTATTATCCAAGAAAGTAAGTGATTTAAAGTGTTATTTAATAGTTTCAAATGATTTCTCAAAAAATTATTATCAGTTTTCAAATGGTGTCTTTATTAAAGAGATTATCTGAACTATGAGATTTTTAGAGTCGTTCTGCTCTACATTTTCAGTCGAAGGTAGAAATACATCCGTTTGATGATGTAAAAGCTCAGAGAGAAGTCATCAGGCAAGATCAACCTTTATTGGTTTCAGAACAAAATGTATCTGAACAGCCATCAGTAAATTCTGCGCATTTGCAAGTGCAAGCTTCTACTGCCTTTGAACGTAAAGCACTGCAAGAAAAAGCATGTAGTTTTGTAGCATTTTTAGCGATTAAAATCATTTTTACTAGATGAGTATTTAGATGTTGAATAAAAATCTAGCAGATATTTACTATTTGAATATTTTATATTACACGGAAAGTCTTTATAGAGTTCTGTGCCATTATCAAGTATGGATTCGGTGCAGGACGAAGTGTTTTTTGATTATACTCCACCTGAAATTTTACCTAGCATCTCAGATGCTGAAAAAGGTACCTTCTAAAAATTTATTTCACAGTCTTAAATGTCGGTAATGAATGTCAAATGTATTAGTGCTGTTAAACATCAAAATCTCATTTGCCATCTCATTTCTTATTTAGGACAGCAAATCTACTCTTTGCATAGCCAGCGTGGTCATGATTTTGTTTCCTGCAGAAAATTCAAGTTGGCTAGAAATGATAAGGTGCCAGTTTTCTCTTTCTTTTTTAAAAAATTTTTAAGAGCTTTATATTTTTTTTAAGTTTTTTCGTTTGATGATTTTAATTTCAGCTAAATAATTTCAAAATCTCTTCTGTCTCTCAAGAAGAATCAAATTCTTTTAATTACTAGCAGTCGGTTTCTAAATTTTCGGCTTTTGTGCAAAAGTAATAAAATGAATTCTTGTTTTTATTTAATGTGAAACTGATTATTTGCAGAATTTAGCAGTACATGAAATAAACAGTATATCTACTGTGACGAATCGACCTTCAGTACCAGGATCGTTCAATATAGAGAAAGTAGGAGAATTTCTCTTCTTTTTTAGAACCTTTTAACACCATTTTAAAGGATGGTTTATTAAAATTTGAGCAACCAAACTGTCAAAATTTGTTCTATATTCTCAAGTTTTAATGTGGTTATTCTAGTTATCAATACAAATTCATAACTACATCTATAATAAATATATGGTGAATGTGATAAATACAATCACAATTCAGACTTTCATTTGATGATTTTAATTTTATCAGGAATAATCAGGTATCTGCTTGACTCAGGTATTCCCTTTATAAGTGTTGAAAACAAAATTCTCACTAAATAGTGTTTATTTTGCTAAAGATTTTTTCCATGTATTTGTTCGATTGGTTAACTTCTGTTGATATGAAGCATATGTCCAAAGCATGAATGTGTTGTTTTGACTGAAAGTTTGTTTGTTGTGAAGATCTTCTAATTTATTGTACGGCATTTTAGTTATATTGTATGCGTCTTTTTTTCACTGTTGACGTTGAAAATTTATTCGCATGTCTTTTTTTCATGTTATCTCTTTCTTTCGGAGGTCTTTTTAGCAAGTGCGGCATCGTGTTGGTCGTCGAAACCGTTTACATCGACAGAAAAGCTTTGATAATGGTTTAGAAATACCTGTTGGATACGACTGTGTACGTTTTTGCCGCACTTGCTAAAACTTTTGATGCTTAAAATTGCTATAACTGACGCTTAATGAAAGCTAGTTTTATTCATTGATAATATTGCTCATATATTCTGGAAAAAATTGAGAGTTAACGATGTTTGAAAAATGCATCTTTCTATTCTTCAAAAAAAAATCATATCGTTGCATTTTTTTTTGCAAAATATGAAAATAATGTTTTCATTCATTCAGGGTTAACTTTTACAGGAACGGTCACTACCATTCGCAAGTTTGCGCAATGTTTTTTCAAGCCCCAAAGTAAGAATTATGATCAAACACTTCAAATTGATCATCTGTATAGCAGTTAGTTTCTGTACTAGACAGTAAGTTTAACTGCTTTGTATTCCAGAACTTTTGTAGCTATTTCTGAATTTTAGGAATGGCTTTTGCAGAACATTCCATATGGTGGTGGAGAGAAAGAGATAAAAACGTTAAAAACTCACAGAAGTGTACAAAGTCGATCAGTACTAAATGTATTGGATGTGAGTTTTGGATTATTTGTTTTTTTCAGTGATTAAAAACGATAAACTTTTTTCGAGTGTAGCTCTAAGAGTGAATAAAGTAGTAGATAAAAGTGAACCAAAAACTTACGTATTTAATATTAAGTAGACAGAAGAATTTTTGTGTTTATTTTCCACAAAAATACTGAACATCGAAAATAAAATACGTTTTGAAAAAGTGGTTGTGTGCAAAATAAATGGTTTTTCTAGACTATACATGAAAAGTTGAAATGTAATAAATATTATGTTCCACGTCGTCGACGATTTGGTGGTGGTTTCGGAATATGGCGGAAATACTTCAATCGGAGATATAAGAAAGATGCTTATTTTTCATATGAAGACACATATATTGATTATAGGCAAGTTTTAACACATTTAAAAATTAGATTACAAAAAATTATCTGTTTGATTTAAGCTGTTTTAAAGTCACTACAAAGAACATTGTAAGCTTCTATGATAACTACATTACATTTTATTAATTCACTTTTTCTATTCAAGACCGTTTTTCACTTACTGGGTGACGACAGTACAAGTTCTTGTCATGATAATCAGTCTTTGCACGTATGGAGTTGGTCCTTGGGGATTCGGTCTTAGCGAAGAAACAGCCGACGTATTACACACCACTGTTACTTTGAAACGAGACAGTATTTACGTTCAACAAAATATTTGGCTTGGACCAAAATTTGTGAGCCTATATCTTTTTTTTAATATATAAATAAAGACAATTTATTGCAGATCTATTATCTGTTTCACTTTATCATGTAAATTTTATTATTTAAGCTATTCAAATAGTGATGGTAATATTATTAGAATTAACATGCCATGATGAGTATAAAAAATATTAAAAAATTATATAAAACAGTGAGGAAGAAATATAAAGCAGTATTCCACCTTTTCTGTGTAATCACTTTAGAATGAGACTGTAAATGATAATTTCAATTATTGCGGAATAAAAAATATTGTCCTTGATTGAAATCATTTTATAATCTCCAACATTTTAGTAAGCTGCAGATGCAGAACTTTTTAAAATTGAGTTACTTTCCTTTCAATTTTCAAGGCAGATTTAATACATTTGGGAGCGAAATTCACACCTTGTATGCGTGAAGATCCAAGGATTTTCGCACAAATCAATGCCGATCGTAAAGAAGAAAATGAAACTGGGTGCTGTATTTATAATGATGGTACGGGTTGTTTTCAAACAGGTCACAGAACATGTCCGGTATGTTTTAAAAGCGAAAGCATATTTTTGTAACAAAAATGTTGTCTAAAACTAGTTTTTAGGTCTTTAAAAATAAAAGTTTTAATGTTGATTGAGAGATATGCGGGTAAAGTTTTCAGCTACAAAGAGGTTGAAGTTACCATAGATGAACTTTTTTAGTGCAAAATAGTACTTTCATTGCTAAAAGTGCAGTCATTAGTTTCTTATTTAGAATGTATCTTTAAGTTTACAAATGTATAAATAATTAAAATACAGTCATTTTTCATTTTCAAAGAGTTAATACTGCAACGTTTAGTCTTTGATAGCAACTTTAACAAGATGGAATGACAAGAATCCTGGCCCAGATAAACGACTTTCAGGAGCTGTTTGTGGACAAGATCCAAGGTAATGTTAAAATACTTTATCATGGCTTGCTTTCATTTACATAACAACTTTGTAATTAGAAAATTGCAGGTATTGCGAGGATCCAGTTTCCGTGAAACCGTATGAATGGCCAGATGATATTACGCAGTGGCCTGTAAGTTTTTAAATTATTTTACATTAGCAGAGTCGTCTTTAACTTCAACAGTTGAAATCATTAACACAGGATATAAAATGGTTTAAATGAAATGAAATGAACATTTTGAACTAAAATGTCACTCATCCTTTTAAGAAAATTTAAATTTTTGGTATTCAACGGAACTAGCTGAGAATTTTTCAGTAGAAAAAATGCTTGGAAAACCTCATAAAAATGAGTAAATGAAGTTCATTTATTTTGACATTGTATAAAGTTCAAAATCAAATTGTTCATCTTTTAACATTATAGTAAGACGTTGTATTCATTAAATAATAATTGAGCAGATATGCAAGCAAAGAACTTCTCTTGTACCTGAGAATGAGAAACACATGCAGTGTGAAATTACTGGACGACCTTGCTGCATACAACTTCATGGACAGTGTCGCATAACTACTAGAGATTATTGCGATTTTGTGAACGGATATTTCCATGAAAATGCAACACTTTGTTCACAAGTTGCATTTTTTGGTTTTCATAGATTAGAAAAAAAACTTTAATGAATTTTTCTAGATGTATTCGTTGCTGCTTTTTCATTACTAGTAAAAACAAATCAAGCTAAAAAATAACAGTTATTAATGATTAGTATCTTGTCATTAGTTGCTTATTCAGCGAAATTTTGTATTATGTGGCAGTTTTTTACAAATCATTTGCCAACACCGATATTTAAAATGACTATGTCATGCTGGTTTTGAATTAGCTAGTCGCTACCGGTTTATTTACAAGTTCTTTACAGATTTTTCATAATCATATTCATAAAAATGGATGTTATTTTTTTTTCCTTTAATCTTTTTTGTAGATGTTCATATAATTTGTTTTGCTTTAGGGGATTATTGCTGTATTGATGTTTTCCAGATATCTTGCTTGAGTGAAATATGTGGAATGTTACCCTTTTTAAGAAGAGATCAGCCAGATCAGTGGTATCGTTTGTTCATACCGCTTTTTTTACATGCAGGGTCAGTTTGGTCCTTCTCTTTATTATTTTCATTACACAAACAAAATTATTTCTGGACTTTTGCTTCATTATAATTTTTCAGGATATTTCACTGCGTTATAACGATTTTTATCCAGATTTTTTATATGAGGGACTTGGAAAAATTGCTTGGGTGGGCTCGCATAGCACTTCTTTACATGATGTCAGGTATTGGTGGTTATTTAGCCAGCGCAATATTTGTGCCTTATAGAGTGAGTAAATTATTCCTAGCCTCATTTTAAATTATTCATGGATAACGGAATTGACCAAATTTTTTTTTGATTGTTTTGCGATGTATTTAATCCCACTGTTTTATTGCACCTTTTTTTTACTATTAAGGCACAAATTTGCAGCCAGAAGTTGGTCCAGCAGGTTCGCATGTTGGAATGTTTGCTACGATGTATGTAGATGTAGTTTATAGTTGGTGAGAAACTGTTTTTCCACACTATATCAATTAGTTTGTGTATTGCATCAGTAATTTAAAAATTCTTGATAATTTTTCAATAATTTGTTCATAATTTTCAATTTCCAATGTCAATAAAAAAGCCATAATCAGAAATAAAAAGGAGATATAGAAGCGAGTTAATACTTCCCATTTTTCTTCTGCGATTAACGGTTCTTAATATTGTTTCAGGAATCTTTTGGAAAGACCGTGGCACGCAATCATGCAGTTAAGTATATTCACTCTATCACTTTTTAGTATTGGTACTTTGCCTTGGATCGATAACTGGGCGCATTTATTTGGCTTTATTTTTGGAATCCTTATATCACTGGGTGACTTATTCCTTTCTGATAGTATAATTTTTATTTTTAGTCTACTGTTAATTGACACATGTCATGAAGGTCTTATTTTTCAAACGGCTAAGTAATTTTTGTTTTCTATTTTGCCTTTGCTAAACTCAGATATCATGTGAAATTTCAACTACTACTTACTAATTATAAAGGTTTGATATTTAATTAATTTATTCTATGTGACATTGGTTAGTTTTCAGCTGTGCTTCCATATATTCAGACAAGGCGTCGTAATCGTGCCAAGCGACTTCTAATTGTAATCACATCACTCTCAATCGCCTTCGGTTTACTTTTTGTTTTATTGGCTGTATTTTACTCTTCTGCAGGCCTTGATTGCCCATATTGCGAGTACTTCAACTGCATACCTTATACTTATCATTTTTGTGATAACCAAGGATTGCGGTTGAAAACATGGCTACCCATATAATTTGTATCACACGTGATTTCATATATCTCGGCCTGCCGATCAGTATTTTTATATTGTATTGCATCCTTTTTCATTAGATTTTCAAATTTAAAGATGTTGATTTTCAGTTTTTGTTTGTAAAAATTCTAGTATCAAAACTTTTTGCTACTTATTTTTGATTTAGGAGATTTCTAAAAAGTCAAAAAAAATTTTTTATTGGCCAAAGATCAAATCTTAGTAGAGATTGTAAATAATTTTCAGTATTCTTTATAATTGTTCAGTTCTACATATATATCAATTATTTGATCTTAATTACATTTTTAATGACATATCATTTGAGCTTTATTGATTACATACATTCAATCGGTTTTCAAATTTTCAAATTGTTTTTGTTCTTGTTATATCACAGTATTCCTGTTCCATCACTTTTATATCAAATTGAAGTTTATGCTTTCACATAATTTGCTTTCCTCAAAGTTGCCTTATTTTCATGCTCGTTAATCATAGCTTCTCTTATGTAGTGATGATTTTTTGTTTTCATTCGATCTGCCGATCATTTAGAAGCTAGTTAATGACATTGATTCTCATTCTTATCAATGCCTTGTATAATGCTCGCTCAACACAAACATTAGTGCCTGTATTTTGTTCTCATCTTAGCTAGTTCACAAGGTGCTGAAAGGCTTGTCGAACTTTTAAAAAATTTTTTCTCATCTTTGCTTGTTATTTGCATTGTTAATATATGTAACAAATACAAAAGTGCAGGTTGTATGGGCAAAAAATGTGTTTCAGTGATAAAGTAATTTTCAAAAATTATTAGTTCACCCATGTAATATATATCATGCCATATTTTTTTCAATTGCCAGTTCGATGCATTTAAATATTATGATAAATGCTATGTAAAACCTTCTACTTTTCAATTTTGAAAGCAGATGTGATTAGTTCTTATTCAAATTGAAGATACTTCCTCGAAATACAATTTTTGTGCAATTAATCAAGATTATGAATTTGCAATTATTTCAGATTTGAAAAATTGGAGGTAGCATCGTGCTTTGATTGGTATTTGAATTGTTTGTTACGAGTTCTCCTTTACACTTGTGGTTTTTGTTTAGTTTGTGGCGTGGTGTTGGATGTGAACTAGAAGTACACTTTTTATTGATAGAGCTATTATTTGATTGAATAAGATGAATTCTTTAGTGCAAAATCGCTCAAATTTGTGGTATGGGAATCAACTAAAAGTCATTAGTTGTTTACGAAGATGGTTTGAATGGCGCGTTGTATTTGCTTGAGTAATCCTTCATCTAAACTCTCCATATATAAAGTTTGAGGACGAAGTATTAGCAAAAGAATCACTTCGGTATGGAACAGCATGTGGGGCATTGCAGTGAGGGTTTCTTGCACATTGTGTTTTTTCTACAGATCTTTTAAATCACTGCTGTTTGTCAGACACATAGTGTGGTATGAAATGGGTGGAAGATAAGTCCGCGAGTGTCTAGTAATTATCTTTTTGATTTACATTTGAGAAACTTTATTCTTAGAGATTGAGGAAGGTCATTGAAAGAATTGGCTGCTGGATAGTCAGTTCTGGATTTAATAGACATTTGCGTTTAATGCATGGATTTCGTACTAGGACTTCGCGTTGTAGTTCTGTTTTAGTTTAATAGGAACATAATTGAATGTTGGCCTTTATGCATGTAAAGTTTATGCTGTCCTCTGAAATTGTCTCCATTGATAGTGAATGTAGTGAAATGATATCATCTGATTTTACCTTTGTACTTCACTTGTGATCAGTGGAAAGTGACCTTTAGGAGTTGTTTTGAATGGGTCATCTGATTATAAATTGAGTTATTTAGGCATAATGCATTTTACTCTTAATCTCTGTTCATCCAAAATTTTCCTGAGCACATTATTTGTTCATAGCTCTCTGTCCTCAGTATCACGATTCTGCTGCTCGGCATTGGTCAGGTAGCATAAATGGGTCAGTGGTCATTGATCGGAGCTTAACGGGACTTGCATAGATTGCCTGACCTTCCCTCTCTTGTAGGCTTCTTATGAGGAAGGGTTAGTATATCACTTCAAGAGGTCAATCAGCCTGTTTAATCTTAGCCATCCACTCTGTCATTAGTGAATTATAACTTTTAAGTTTGTTAGTTTTTTTGCTTGAAAAGTATAATCGTAAAGCATTCTTTACCATTTATACGAAAGTGTCACCTTGTCTTGACACAAGAAGAAGGGTTTTATGAGATATATCTAGCTTTGTGCGTGCGTTGTCAGCCATCACGAGTCTGTGGATTCGTGTCGTTTGATCAGTCAGTTAATTAATGGAGAAATGTCAGCGTGTAGAAAGAAATACTACCTGTTTGCGCGTTGAAATCTATTTCTTCCCATGTCTGTTTATTAAATGGTTTGTTGCTTTATGTTACATCTCAGTATGAATTTGTTTATTTCCATTCTTTTTATTCCTTTCGCTACGGCAAAAATAGATCATGAAGTTCATTAGTTCAGTTTGATTTAAATTACATTGATATCACACACTCATTCTGGAGTATCAATATGTACAGCCTGTTTTAGATAAATTTTTATTCATAAATCTGATTTGCACCATGTAGTCAAAGGTATGGCATTCAGATTGTGCTTATATGAGATAGATTCGTAAACTATACATTAGGTTAGTAGAAATTTGAATTAATGCATAATGTTTACTGTGATAAACTTTTTGTTTGTACGAACGTAGAACACTGCGATACATTTTTAGTATGCAGAGACTTTTAAAGATTAGATGAAATTTTTAATGTGCATAAATCCGCGTGAATTGGTGAGGAAGTAATGTTTTATATGTAAGTGAAGGAAGTAGAACAAGTATAAGTGAACGATTACTGACAATATTTATTTGTGGGAACTGAGTATGGCGAGTGATGTTTTTTGTATGGGACTTGGTTCTATTTTTGCCTATTACTGTGTCTTTCCGAACAAAGTTCTATAGAACCAGTTTCAGTCGACACAACAGTACCAGAATTGTTGGAGCTAGTACTCTCGCGGACTGTTTACGTTTGTACTTTGATTCTGTACATGGCAAATATGATATTTTCCCTTGGCGTGTAAATGATGAATAGGCATTTATTTGTTGAGGTAGTTCAGAGATTTTCACGCTTCTCGTATTGTGAAAATTTATTTTTACATTTGAGTTTTGTGATTCTGACTTAGTAATCGTTCATTGATTGCTTTTTATTAACGGAAATAAAATTTGTGCGGAAAATTATAAGAAAACATGACATGTTATTTGCCGTTCGTGCTCTAGGGGTATGCAAAAAGTTCAGATAAACAGGCGTAAAACGCTCACTTCTAGATTAACTCCCATAATATCAGTATGGAATAAGTTGTCACGAAATACTGTTAGAACGCTCAATTTTGTCGCGGAGTTGTATATACATTATTGATAGCATAAATAAGTATTCAGGATTGGGGAGCTTGAAATTGGCTCAAACTACTTAGAAAGTCATCATACTAAGGACTGTTGAGCGGTTTATGATTGATAATTTCAATTTTTATCTCTTTGAACCTGCGCAATTCTCGTTTGCAATTTTTGCGAAATTTTGTAATCATGTCAAAATATTAGTACCTATGAATGACAGATTCAGACCTTACTTCTTACCAGTCATTCCAAGATTTAAACCATCATAATCCGATTTGTGAAGGAATGAAATCAGGCCACTGGTATAATCTATCAGGCATGACTTCATTACTATCACATATTATCTCAGAAATTGCTGCAGCAACGGATTTGTTGAAAAACACTTGCAATTTCAGTATAGTTCCAGCTGGAGATGTGACATCGCATGTTTCACGAAGTTGGAACTCAATTTTTGCTCTAGCTCAATCTTAGTTTCAACTCAGTTGTTTGTTCGAAAAGACTAAATCTTTTAGTGAGAAAAAGTGGAATTCATTGCTCTATTTGTGCTAGCATTTGTATATGTCAGTGATTTGTCTTTTACTCATGACTGATAGATAAAATAAATAGATGTGCATGAGAAGTAGATCAGTCAGAAGTAAATTTGAATTTAATATCTAGTGAACATTCATTTCATTCTAGTAATCATATTTTGCTACATCTGATTCTTATTTTTGCTTACTGTAATTATGGATCATATTTTGCATAAATTTGCATTTATTTTATGCTGCCACATATAGACATAATATCACTATTGATTTTGTAGTTTGTGATAATGATAAGACCGTGCCGTACCGTGTTTGATGCTAAAAATTGGTAGATAGTGCAGTAATGGATGTTTGTTATATTTGGTGAGGAATATGATTACACTGTCATGCAAAGGTACATGAACGTGTCATTTGCACTGAATTATTGCTACAACATTAGTTGAATTTACCGTGCGAGTGAATAAATGAATGAATGAGGTTCTGAATTATGCGAGGTGAAAGGTAAAGCGTTGTTTACTTGAAGCAGTGGCTAGTGTTGTGTGTATGTTGTGTGTGCAATTGGAAAGATTCCATTTATGAGTTTAGCCTTTATCTGTTTGATTTGCTGAGCAACGCAAGCATACAGCTGCAGCATATTTTTGTCGTGAGAAAACTAAATGATAATTAGCTGTATGCTAGGAGTTGTTCGCAACTACCGTTAAAGATTGTTGCGATGCATGTATTTGTTCTAACATAGGTACTGTTTGCTTCGTAGCATGAGAATTAAAAATATATTACTCGAGTGGGTCTGGTCAAAGCAAGTGCTACTTACGCTTAAAGTGAAAAATTGCGTGTGTGCTTGTGCATGTAGTGGGAAGGTCAAGGAAAGCAGTAAGTAATTTGTGAAGATAGTAAGTGGCTATGTATTGGAGAAGGCTAATGCTTATGTAGAGAAAAGTAAAGTGTGAGGGCCAAAAGAACAATGAGTTAGGCCATAACAGCCTAAATGAGACTAGGATAGGGTGGATGGAAACTATTTTGCTTAGAGAAGCGCATTGTTTGCACGACGCGCATTTTCTTCTTCCATCGCTTATGTTTAAGTGCTTGCA